ACACACACACACACACACACACACACACACACACACACACACAAACACACACACTGAAGCCCATATGGAAACACATACAGTAAAAACAAAAATAGTGCCACACACAACCACTCCAACCAATTTCCCTCATTCTCTCCACATACACCAGTACCCAGGGAAAGATACAATGGAGTGTGTTAGCATCAAAGGACGCCTCCAGCAGCTAACCTCTACCACCTACATGTTTCCTCTCTTGCTCTATCTGTGTGTGTGTGCATGCCCGCCCTTGGCTTGTAAATCATCTGCTCACTAGCTATCTCCCTCCTCCTCCCTGCATCTCAATTGAGATATAACCAGATTTTTCGGAGGCCAAAAAACAGTCAAATTGGTGCAAACCTAACAGAAGAGAAGCAGCCACACCGGTGAGTCCATTTCTATTCACCATCACACCTCCCTCCTAAACTTCACTCCTATATTCTGCATGCTGTCTGCTCAGTTGTGCTGAAACTGAAGCAGCAGAGGGGGAATATCCAACTAAATTAGACACCACAATGTAATAATGTAGGATGTTGTTGGATGAGTTTACACTGACGTATCTATATTACACAGCACATTCATTGTTTCCAGTCTCATTTTGCTGGAGTCAGGCAAAAATGTAAAAATGATGTTCAGTATAAAGAAAAGTACTTTTTATTCACCAAAACTGTCTGTGAACCTGAATTCTACTAATATATATAAGACAGAAGATTATAAGTGGACCTGTGGAAAGCTTGTCCTGAGGGTGGCGCTACAGGAAAGACGACTGAGGAATTAAATATTGATGGGGGGGCATAAATGTGCTCATGTCTGCTCATGCTCTATATATCATTTAGAAATTACGCCTCAAATTCAGTTTGTATAACTTTAACCGTGACAACAAAATGTTCTCCAGAAACGGGAAAGTGATTAGCAAAAACTGCTTTAAAAGAATCCATGTAACCTGCAAGGTGTGCAGAATGTTAATATTTGATCAATTTTAAGAGAGAAATGATTGAAAACAAACCTCATATCATGTTGAGTATGTGTACGGCAAAATGTATTTCATTCATTGGTATTTTGTGCAGTTGAGTTCTTTGTAAGTTAAACCATGCAGGCATTCTATTACAACCTGAATTAATCAAGGCATTTAATCTACATTGCCTGTGGTCTCTAGTTATTTTACGTTGAGAGAAGTTAGTTGTTGAGCGTGTGAGGTGGCCCATGTCCCATGACAGCGTATGACATGATAAGAAGTATCTAACCTGTTTGTGCTGGTTAAACATGGAGGAACACATGAGGAGCCTGGACTGGATTCCTCACATAGCAGATATTAGAGAGAGCCGTGTCAAGGACCAATTACTGATTCAACTTGGAACATTTAGAGAGAGAAGACCGACTCGCACACTCACACACACACTAATTCCGCACACACAACTACACCTCGATGCCTCATTAAATTAGAGCCGTGCTGTGCCAGCACGTTATCCACAACCCCTCCTGGTGAGGACAGGAGCAAAGGGTCATGGGAGAGTGCTGGCTAATCGACAGGAGCCTGTGTGTGTGTGTGTATGTGTGTGTGTGAGGATTAATGGCCATCGTTACATACAAGACTGGCTCCCTCTAAAGGAACCTTTTTAGGAAATTTTAGGAATTAACAGAACATTTCAGAGAAATCTGGTGGTGGATTTAAGGAAGTTAGGGTACATGACGGTCATGGTAATTTGGCATGTACTATACATCCAACAATGCTAGAACTAAGGTGATTAAAAAAACCTGTTGTTAGGTTGCTATCAACTACCCAATTTCCTATTCTTTATAAATATGAACTGCTTTGTGATTTGAAGCTGTGAGGAGAAGTCAGTGCTGGATTCCATCCTAAAAATCCCTGCAGCAGCAGAAGTACTTGGATTGATGGAAGACAAACTATCCCACTGTGTTCAAAGAAGGACTGGAATCAACAACCTAGTGCACACGGTCAGTCTTTGCAAACTGATCCCAGTTCAGCCCTGATGATCTGACACACACTGAGAGGGACTACAGCGGCCTGATTCACCCCTTTTAATGAAAAGAAGTGTAAGGACATACCAGAGGAAACAGTTTGGCTTGTTCTTATGTTTTGGTAATAGTGCTGTATTCACAGGTGTAGCTGTTGAAAATAACTCATCCCTGAAGAATGTGAAGCAACTATAGAAATGCTGACAGAAGAAGAAATGCTCCAATCACAGCCGTAGTCCACCCACTGTTTCCACTTATGTTCTCTGATTAGACTTCATCTCAGGACTGTGTCTGAGTATTCAGACTGTCCTTAGTAGACCTTTATCACAGAAGGCATTTTGACTTGACTTAGGAGAAAAATCACAGGTGTAACTATGAGCATTAATATCGGCTCCATCCCATTTAAAGGGGACATATCATGCTCATTTTCAGGTTCATACTTGTATTTTGGGTTTCTACCAGAACATGTTTATGTGCTTTAATGTTCAAAGAACACATAATTTTCCTCAGACCGTCTTTCTGTATATACCTGAATTAATCTTCTGTCTGGAACGCTCAGTTTTAGCACCTGTCTCTTAATCCAAATCAAGCCAAATCAATCCAAATCAAGCCCAATCAGCTCTGATTGGCTTGCAAGAAAAATATGGTGCACCCCTGCAAAGATAGTTCTAAAGTCTGGGCGGCATATTCTAATGAGCCTGCATGTGACAGAGGAAGGGGAGTCAAATCTGAATGGCTTTTTGAATCACATGGCTTTTATTTCAAATCCAGTCAACCCACAAACAACTGACTGGATTGTCTTATTTCACAGTTTGTGGGTTGGTAGGCACTCCAGATACCCAAATGTATGCGCACAATTAACAGGAGTTTTTCAATATATGTCCCCTTTAAGTCCATTGAGTAAGTATGCCTGATAGTAGAGAACACGGAAATGGATTGCAGCCATTAGTTACAACAGTCCATTTCTTGCTGTGATAAGTCCCCTCTGTATTTTGTTGCACCTTTATCATTCTGATTTGTTACATGGAAAGTGAAAAGTTATTCCAGTCCAGTACCCGAGGAAGTGCATCCATATTGGATGATTCTGCACCACACGATTTATGTCCACTGCCACGCTGAATGCCAGTGCAGGAAGTATTATGACTTTAGGTAGTGAGGCGGAAACTAAGGCGGGGAGCTGGATGGCTATATAGCTTGTCTGACTTCCATGCAAGAAACTGAAGTTTGCATCCAGACACAGACCTGTAATTAGTGTTTGCCTTATACTGTGACATCGATGTCTTCCTTAAACTTAACCAAGTGATTTGAGTAACCTTAAATATACCCGCAGTGTCATGTCGCTTAACCCAACCCATACATTGTGATGTGACAGAATGCAATTTCCAAATAGCAAAAGCTGCGATTAAAAGAAAGAAAGTTTGTATTGTTAATGCTACACAATCTAACCAGCCAGAGGGTGGGAAACACCTGGCAACGTGGGCTTCACCTACACACACGCTGCGCTATGCTCCACCTGACATGAGCAAACAACAGACAACATCTCCCCTGTGCTGCCCAATCATGGCCTGGAAGCAGGAACAGTTAACATGTTAACAACCAGGTTTTGAGTTTTGTGAATGTTCACACCAGGCCTGTTGATGTCATGTCATGATGATTATATTACATGCTTGAAGTTTCATGTTATAATAGATACTGAAGGTTTTTACGATTCAATAGCTAAATAAAGATCCATCCATCCATCCATTTTCCACCGCTTATCCGGGGTCGGGTCGCGGTGGCAGCAGGTCAAGCAGGCCGACCCAGACCTCCCTCTCACCGGCAACATGTTCCAGCTCATTCTGGGGGATCCCGAGGCGTTCCCAGGCCAGCTGGGAGATGTAATCTCTCCAGCGTGTTCTGGGTCTTCCCCGGGGTCTCTTCCCAGTTGGACGTGCCTGGAAAACCTCCAGTGGGAGGCGTCCAGGAGGCATCCTAATTAGATGCCCGAACCACCTCAGCTGACTCCTTTCGACGCGAAGGAGTAGCGGCTCTACTCCAAGCTCCCTCCTGATGACTGAGCTCCTTACCCTATCTCTAAGGCTGAGCCCGGCCACCCTACGGAGGAAACTCATTTCGGCCGCTTGTAGCCGCGACCTTGTCCTTTCGGTCACGACCCAGAGTTCGTGACCATAGGTGAGGGCAGGAACGTAGACCGAGTGGTAAATTGAGAGCTTTGCCTTCCGGCTCAGCTCCCTCTTCACCAAGACGGTCCGGTGCAGCGCCTGCTTTACTGCTGCAGCTGCACCGATCCGTCTGTCGATCTCCCGCTCCATCTTACCCTCACTCGTGAACAAGACCCCGAGATACTTGAACTCCTTCGCTTGAGGTAGGCACTCCGTCCCCACCTGGAGGGAGCAATCCACCGGTTTCCGGCAGAGAACCATGGCCTCAGATTTGGAGGTGCTAACTCTCATCCCCGCCGCTTCACACTCGGCTGCAAACCGCCCCAGTGAATGCTGGAGGTCACAATCCGAGGAGGCTAACAGGACCACATCATCTGCAAATAGCAGAGAAGCGATCCCGAGACCCCCGAGACTGACGTTCTCCGCCCCCAGGCTGCGCCTAGATATCCTGTCCATGAAAATCACAAACAGGACCGGTGACAAAGGGCAGCCCTGGCGGAGGCCAACACCCACCGGGAACGTGTCTGACTTATTGCCGAGAATGCGGACACAGCTCCTACTGCAGCCGTACAGAGACCGGATCGCCCGTTGTAACGGGTCCGGCACCCCATACTCCCGCAGCACCCCCCACAAGACCCCCCGAGGGACCCGGTCGAAAGCCTTCTCCAAGTCCACAAAGCACATGTAGACTGGTTGGGCAAACTCCCAGAACCCCTCCAGTAGTCTTGCGAGGGTAAAGAGCTGGTCCACTGTTCCACGGCCGGGACGGAATCCGCACTGCTCCTCTTGAATCTGAGGTTCGACAAGCGGTCGGAGCCTCCTTTCCAGCACCCTGGCATAAGCCTTCCCCGGGAGGCTGAGTAGTGTGATACCCCGGTAATTCGAGCACACTATCTGGTCCCCCTTTTTGAAGATGGGAACCACCACCCCGGTCTGCCATTCCATGGGCACTGATCCCGAAGAGGCGTGTCAGCCAGGACAGCCCAACCATGTCCAGCGCCTTCAGCATCTCAGGGCGGATCTCATCCACCCCCGGCGCCTTGCCACCAAGGAGCTTTTTGACTACCTCGGCGACCTCTGCCAGGGATATGAGTGAGCCTCCCCCTAGGTCCTCAGGCGCTGCCTCCTCTGCAGAGGACATGTTGGTCGGGTTTAGGAGTTCCTCAAAGTGCTCTTTCCACCGCCCGACGATGTCCTCCGTCCGGGTTAGCAGTTCCCCCCCCCTGCTGAGAACAGCCTGGGGTAAGCCCTGCTTTCCCTTCCTGAGCCGTCGGATGGTTTGCCAGAACCTCCTTGAGGCCAACCGAAAGTCCTTCTCCATGGCCTCCCCGAACTCCTCCCATGCCCGAGTTTTAGCATTCGCGACCACCGCCGCTGCAGCCCTTCTGGCCTGCCGGTACCTGTCAGCTGCTTCAGGAGACCCCTGGGCCAACCAGGCCTTGAAGGTCTCCTTCTTCAGCTTGACGGCTTCCCTCACCTCCGGTGTCCACCACCGGGTTCTCGGGTTGCCACCACGACAGGCACCGATGACCTTCCGGCCACAGCTCCTAGCGGCCGCGTCCACAATAGAGGCTTTGAACATGGTCCACTCGGATTCCGTGTCCCCAACCTCCCTCGGGATGTGTGAGAAGTTCTTCCGGAGGTGGGAGTTAAAGACCTCCCGGACAGGGTCCTCCGCCAGACGTTCCCAGTTCACCCTCACTACACGTTTGGGTTTGCCGGGTCTTTCCAACTGGTTCCCCTGCCATCTGATCCAACTCACCACCAGGTGGTGATCAGTTGACAGCTCTGCTCCTCTCTAAATAAAGATACGTTATTCATATCCATTCATGCATCAGTTCATCTCTTTTCATCAGAACACTTTGGCCTGGCCTAAATGAAAGAGCAGTTTATATGTTGTGTTGATTATACTATAGAAGGATGTATTGCTTGTGTATAATGAAAAATACAGAAGATAAGGAACTTCAAAAAATCAAATGCTGAATGGAACCAACTTCAACCTGAGCAGAGGTCTAATGCATCTCAGTGAGTGGAAACAGCTACTGCATATAGGTGTGCACATCCTTTCAAACGTTTTATTTTACATTTCTAATATTTTCTCATCATATTGTAAATAATTGATACTATTTAACCCCTTGCTTCATTAGACAGCCTTTACTTTTGAGGATAAAGTATGTATTAGACAACAGACATTAGGCTGCTGAATTTAATAATCCGCAGTAAGGGGAATTCTTCAGGCATATCAGCTGACTCTGAAACAAGTGGTAGCGCTAACTAAATGTCCAGGTATTTCCCTGCAGCTCTTTGTGTGTACAGGTGAAATTATATGATATGGAAGGCAGCAAAAAACAGTGCATTTTCTATTTAAATAAGAAATTACAAGTAAATTATAGCTGACATCTAGCACACAGAAGAATTAAAGAGATAATAGGCTAAATCAAGAACCACTTCCATAATTTAAATGAACTGATTTATAAACATGTCTTTGAGCTATGTTTTGGACATAAATGCTGAGCAACATGTGACATTGTGTCCTTGTTGTTTTGCAGACTACTGTCCTGGCAGAATCACAAGAGATTAAAATCAGTCTCTGCTAATTATTACAAAACATTAGGCTTTAGCTACCAAAAGGATACTAGACCCATGGCAATAAAGCTTTGGCCTGCATGCAAATGTTGCAAATGCAAGAGTACAGTACAAGCAGGTTCATGGAATGACTGAGATGAAGCAGTGTGTCCTCAGTCTTAAACTTATTTGGACTCACGCTGATGGGAATAATCAGATGAACTGGTTTTAGACCAGTGTGGTTGAAGAAAACTCATCTTTGTGTGAGACGTACGGGACCAGAAAAGACTTGAATGAATGGATTTTACAGAATCATCAAAAGTCAGCACACCCCAGTGGGAGAAACAGAGAGACATTCATGGTAATGGGTTTAGTGAGTGGGAGTGTAACAGGTCTCATAGCCGCTGAGGATTGGTTCGATGCCGGACCTTGTTTTATGGGGCACACCTTGGCTCAGTTCGTAACAGGGGAAGCTTTATGTGTGTCTGTAGGTTTGTTTGTTAACACAGTTCTTCTGCCTGTTAGCACATAAACTCAATGACTAGAAAAAAAAAACAGCAATTCTGGATCATCCTTTTATATTTGCATATGTGTTGCTACAGGTGCATGCATGCAGCAACTGGTCTATTTCCATGTGCTTTGCATGTGAACTATTTATTCTAACAGACTTTTGAAGAGGAGCAGTGGTGGGTGCCAGGAGGGAAGGTCTGAGCAGTAGGGCCAAAGAATGCTTACAATAATGCAAATATACATATTTTATGGTCCCTTTTGGACGTTTACTTCACTGTGTAAATGTGCTTCTAACCTACAGTCATTTTCTCATGACTACAGACTAGAGAAGACTTTCTCCACCACATTTCCACCACACTGACATGATACACCTTCAATCTAAATAGAATGCATGCACAAACCTGGAAGAGGATTTTTCTTTTAAATAGTCATTTTGACAATATTAGTAATTGTATGTCTTGGTCTGCCTCCTTCATACACCACTGTAGCACACTTTTCATTGTTAATGAAATAAAATTTCTCTTTCTCTATTTATAGTTATATATATGTGTGTGTGTGTGTGTGGGTGTGTGTGTGTTGAGAGTTTATGTGTTTGTGATCATACAATCCCAGGAAACTCTTAACAGATGCTTTGAATGAAAAAAAAAATCTAACAATGCTGCATGTGGAGCTAATGATACACACACACACACACACACACACACACACACACACACACACACACATTAAGAGATCTCCAAGTCCAAGCTCAAATAATTTTGTGGGAATCAATGACCTTTAGAAAAAATACCACTCTTCCACCCCTCTGACTCTTTTTTGTTCTCTCACTCCTTCCCCTCTCTTTCTCTCAAGGCTTTTTAAAAACAATATCACTCGCATACACTCTAACAAGGGCCAAACTGCCCTGTCAGTTCAAAAGCATTGTAAGGGAGAAGGAAAAGTGGAAGCAGTCAAATCTGAGCATGCAGAAACAATGTTCGTTTCAGCCTCTGAAAGAGTGCTCGACCTATGGTACCCTCCCCATGGGTCACTACTTTTATGCAAATGCAAACGCCTGTTGGTATAAGCTGTTAGCCAGACGCTTCCAGTGAGTCCGGCAAGGTTGAAGAGTTTAATAACTTCAGTGGCACACTCTTAAATTGACGGTGGATATCACAAAATGTTCTGCTTAAGGGGATGTTTTGCACAAAAAGAAAAAATAATAATTGTGACAAATATGAAATATGTAAGAATAACACATTTCAGCTCTGGCTTTGTCAGATCTATCTAAACGTAAATAAACCTGACAATAAACTCTTTGAGTTATTACTCTGAGAAGATTCCTGCCTTTCATCAGCACCCTGAGGGAAAGTGAACAAAGCATTCCTACAATTTGACAAACTACATATTTGTCTGCCATCACTGTTCTGCAGAGTTTATCTGATAAAGAGAAGAATTGAGGTCTTTAAATCAATATTTTATTGTGGCTACATTTAAATAGAAATATAAAGGAGAAATGATCATGTGAACCATTCATTGACTTTGATGTAGTGATGTTGAAAATCTGACGGTCCAGCTTGCCAACAATTCATCATGGCTCACTGTATTATCAAAACCATGTTTCCAAAGAGTATTCCAGCTACAATTTACCGTGAAATCTGCCCGACATATTAGCCTACACATCACCTATAGCACATCCTGGAACATGTTGGAGAGGGAGGGGGAGGAAGAAGGCCTGGAGAAAGGAAAACCCTGGCAGTCTGCTTATCTGATGGGCTCATACCACAGAGTGAAAACCAACACATGCAGCAACAAGAGTACAAGAACGGCTGATACAGAGAGAGCTAGAGAGGCAAGGCAGCTGGACAAGATTGGAGGAGAGAAGAAGTGGGATTAACTTTGGACAAAGCAGAAATAAAAGTCCCATCGGTCATCCTGCACCTGGCCCAAACTAAACCTTTCAGACTGATGTGTGTACATGTATCCACAGCACTGATTAGCGTGTGTCTGTGTGTGAAAGAGGGAGACAAACAGAAAAAAGGTGTGTGTTTGTGTGTGTGTGTGGTTTTACCTATGCAATAACAGAGCAGGACAGAGAGCAGTACAGATAGTCCTACTGCACTGAGGGCTGTACACCTGAGGGAAACAAAACAAAAAGATGGTTGTTGTGTTGCTGTCACCTTCATCAGTATCGGTTTTGTCTGAAATAACCTCCACAATATAAGACACATTTTCTAGATTCACTGCTGCAGCTTCGCAATTGCTTAATTTTGGATGTATGATCAACTTCCACAACACACTCTATCTGTAAACGACTTTATTTTTTCTCATCTGTTCCTGGAATAGCCAGTGCTCAGTGAAGTGCTACACTCTGACAACCCAGGCCCTCATCCCATGATGCTGTTCAGCAACACGCCAGAACTACACGATAACTGGTCTGAGCTAACGTTGTGGTTAGCAGAAAGACATTTTAGTATTGGGGAAATTTGCAAATATAATATTACATGTAATATTGTATAAAGGTGCAGTTGGACACAGAAAAACAGCCAATATTCTGCAAACTGTTATTATTAGCCAGAAAACCCTGTACAATTTGATATTTTATATTGATTTAACAGTTATACAAACGATTACAACAAAAACACCCTGGATGCTCTTGTTTGCAAAGTCTCGAACCCAATTAGATGCCAGCTGGCCAGCAATTAGTCAACTTGAAAACTTTGTTAAATCTTGTAGCAATTAATTTTGTCTTCAACTTCTTTTGTGACTGGAAAGTAGTTTTCTGTTCCAGCCAATGTTATTTGTAGGGAATTCTAATGTATACCCAAATGAGTTGCACAGAAGAAAAGGCCAGCACCACTTCCACTGACAACTCCTCTCCAAGACATTCTGATATTTTCTTCCATCTTACCTCCATGAGCAGTATTTGGAGGATTTTTTGAACTTGAATGCAGAGCGGGACAGGGTGTTCCTCGGCAGCGGCCTGGTGGGCGGGGAGTACACTGAACCGGTTGCCATGGTGTAGCCAGGAGTTGCCGTGGAGAAGAGGGGGGTGGTGCCTGTACCTGTCTTAAAGAGGAAATGCCTGGAGAGCGGAAGAAGAAAGAGAGGGAGAGAGATTAGTTTTGGTACATTAGCAGGGAACATTGGCTTTGTTTATATGCACTGACGATGATCTGCAGCACACAGTTATCACACAGTTTACATACATTGTTGCCCCCGGGAACAACGTCAGGTAACTGTGTGAAGTATGATTACTACTCTATCCACCAGTTCTATAAGGTTATCCCTTCAACAAACAGGAGACACACGCCCTTGGAGACACACACAAACAAGCAAAGATTAAAAGTACTGAACTATTTTATTGCAAATGATGGGGTGGGTTTCCATTATCGTGTCTTTCAAGATTATTGCGATCAAATAAAAAATAAAGCAGAAAAAAACATTCATTCATTTTTCTTGCTGAAATAAAAAAGATTGTCATTAATTATTGAATGTGAGCTGTGCTTGAACAGCGTTTTGAATAGATTGCTGTAAAACCTAATAGAAACTTAAGTTTTTCTTTTGCCAACTATATTTAATTACAATCAATAACTGGAGATAGATTTCATGTTTCATGCAAAGCAGTCTACTATGTACACTGAAACGTTACATCAAACTTCACTATGGACAGCATGTTTTTATTGTTGTTACTGTGTTGTACAGACAAAGTTAACACCATTAAAATCCCAGTTATGAACAACGTGGATCAAACATATGTGGCTGCGTTTAAGTTTTTAAAAATACATTCCTCCGCATTATTATTTCATGTCTGTATTTCATACACAGTGCCTGTCAATTACATTGCCCCAACACACTGCGGCGCAGAGCTGAGAGCCACTTCGGAAACGTGCCGCGGCTCGTCTGGTGGAATCACACGCTGTCTAGAGTAGCTCCGGCCGCCAGAACGCGGCGCAGCTACTCCCAATGGAATATCGATCCTGAATCCACCTGCAGCTTGGTTTTATGTCTCCTAGTAACTTTCTTTATTAAAAAAAAAGATGTGTGGGGCCCTATGTAGTTGCGTATTCAGGGTCTAGGGCAGGCTGGCACTGACTACACTCCATACCATGTTTACCACATTGATATACTTTTGGGAGCATTTCCAGGAGCATACATTTCCAAAAACTGCACTTCTTTCAAGTGCACATGGATGGTTATTAAGTGTCTTGAAGGATAATGGCATTTTAAATTAACTTATGTAAGTGTCTCTAAGCCATGTTGGTGAGCACAGACTTTTCATAGCAATGTAACTGATGACCAGACTATCCTTGCTTTTCATTAGTATAATCTGTTCTCAGATCTTTTCTGAGTTTGAGGCTGTTAGTTTGGTTTATGTGGGTTTTCTGGAGACAAGAGAGAAAGCTCTGTTCTTTAAAGTCTCTGTGTTCAGCTCTCAGGACTTCTGTTGCTTCGACCTGAATCCCTGTGGTTTGGAGTTTAATTTCAATCCTGTCAATGTTCCTGTTTGTACTTTCATACATCAGCCGTATTTCACTGTTGAGTTGTGTAATTCTAGCGTTAATGCAAACCAAACATTTATCGTTGCTGCCGCTTCACATTAAGAGCTTTTCACCAGGGAACCAACAGGATGACTTTTATTGTGAAGAATTTATAGGAAATGCTGTGTGTTAGCGGGGCTTCATTAGTGTTGCTATTCTTCAATAAAAAAAGATCTAATCAACACACATTTTGCGCTATTTTGTCAGCAGATCAGCTGTTTAGGTTTACTTACCAACAAATTCTCACTCCTAACTCTTCAGATACCGACCCTTGGTCAGGGGCCTTAAGCTTCAAACTGTGTTGCTCTAGGTCCCCCTCTAGCATCAGTTTTGGACATGTCAGGGACGAAGGGTAAATTTCCTCTTGTTACATGCATAGTGTCTTTTAGAAATAAACTTCCATCTTCACACAAAGTTTGGTTAAGGCAATAAAACCACTTAGTTTGATTTAGGAAAAGAGCAAGTTTGACTTTAACTTGACTAACGACTCACGTGATTAGCAAGTGACAAACGCATCACATGACTAGTGAATCATGTGATTACGTCAGTTGCTCGAACAGACTAATATTGAAGCAAGTGTGGTTACATTGGTGCTAGTTGAAAGTGTGGTGCGTCAGTATTAGATGCCAAAAGGGCACTGACCAAGCGTTGGTATTTGTCAAGTGTCAAGTGACATCGGGTTGGATGTCTGGATTTTTTGTTCTTGTGTCTCTTAAATTAAAAAAGTTGAAATAAGTCAACATATCACACAGGACACGAAGAGCGGTCTCTTGAGTGACAGTCATGAGTTTGTTTGACCCAACCACTACCCTGACCTCCTTCATACGCTGACTTTGTCACTTTTTATGCTACGTCACCTGGCTTCCCCCTTTACTTCAATCATAAATATGGGCACTAGAGGTTGCAGCCTAACAATTTTGGACCTTCCTGTGGTGATCCAACATACAAATAGATGATAATGGCCTACTGAGCAAATTAGGAGATAGAGTGGGGCCATACCACCTCAAATCTATGCTCCCGATGACAACTGATAACAGCCACTTAGAGGGCTAATAACACTTTAAGCAGGTGACACAGATGGAAAACAGGGTAAAGTGAGGCAGACATATCGCAGGCCACTGCAGTGACATGGTATAAGCCACTATGACACACCATGACACTCCATTTAAACCAATGTTTTGTCTTTGTGTAGACCACAATGGCTGTGACTCTCATAAGTCAGTCACAATGCGTTCTCATACTGTTTGCACAGTGAGGTGAGAAAGCTTTATTATGCTCATTAACTTGATTAATGAAGCCTGTGACATGCATCTTTTTGTCTCATCTCTTAACTCAAGCACAACCACCTTCTGCAACCGGTCCAGAACTAATTTATAAACTATAATTCATCCACTATTAATTCTCCTGAACAGTGAAATACAACAACAATGTTGCCAGTATTTATCAGGGAACTCTGAAATGCTTGAGATTCGTTTTGATTGCTTTAACAGGGAAGTTTGTAAGAGTTGGAGGCCTTAATTCTCAACGAGAAGATGCTTTCTGGTTTTACCAAAACAAGAAACTCTCAAAACACTTATGTGATATCACCCAAACAAGCCAACCAGGTGACAATGGTCTATATAAAGCTGACATTTACACTGCTGCCCACATGATAGCCAAACTGTTCCTTTTTCATTTGCGAAAAGGCTGTCGTTCCCACGGAAAAATTTCCACGAAGAAAATTGCTGGCACACTGTGCATGTATGGCTGCAGTAATTACCAAGGTCAAAATGTCTAATTAATAACAGAACCCTGGCTAACGAGCATCTGTAATTACAATCAGACTGCTCTCTAAATAGGCTGTGTGATTAACAATTATAACCTATTATAACAAGGGTCCTTCAATTAATACCTGCCTCCAGGCAAGAGGGGAGGAGAGAGATAGAAGAAAAAGACAGGAGTTTAGGAGACTGAATAAATAGACAAAGACTGAGCATTACTGTGTTTCGTGTGTGAGTTCTACAGCAGCAGTTAAAGCACAAACATATTGTTAAGCATTTAATGAAAAGCATGAGATGTATTCAGTCACACAGGCAAACAACAAGAGGAGATGCTGTATTTCACAGGATCAGGAATGACATGATGAGGCAATGTCATCAGATCTGTTCTTTATATCGATGTTCATCATGTCAAATCAGGCAACATTAAATCATTAGTTTACGGACATGTTCAACATCCACATGAATGAAAAAAAAGAATAAGTGCAATATCCCTGACTGCTCTTCTTACATATACTACTATACTATTCTGTTTTGCCTTTGCTAGCTACTTAAAAACACATTTTTTATTCTATCAATTTATCAATCTGACATGAAACTTTGGGAGGTTAACAAGTATCTACTTGATGTGATCATCAGCAGTTAAAGGTCAGAGAAAACCCATTAGTATTAGTTTTTTACTTTAAGTGGAGCGCTGTGAATGAGTAAAATACCTGAGTGGACTCACAGCACTGCTGCTTCTTATCTGCTAGTTCATGTCATCTCCCTGATGTCCCTGGTGTAAATCAGGAGGGATGGATGGATGGTAGGGATGGGCCATTCCAGGTTTTTAATAATTCCTTATCTTGCTGTATTTTTATCAACAGGTGAAAAGTAGTAATGTGACCCGACAGATGGTTTGTTACACTGAACCACCTGAGAAGCAAGTAATTGGAAACTGCATGGAAAAGGGAGGGTACTTTAAAAAAATAAATACTTGGCAGGTGATCAGATGACCCATCTGTCAATCATACTCTTGCCAAATCCATTCGGAAGAAGAGCAAAAACACTTTCACTTCCATACACTTTAATGTTACTTTATAAGGTTTTATATTGGGATAGCAAATCTCTTGCAATGTGCATCACATTATGTCTTTCCCTCCCAGTGGCTTTTGACATAAACTTCATGATTTTGTGCTTTCATTTTAAATTTGTAAGAACAAACTTTGTGTTTGTGTGTGTGTGTGTGCGTGTGTGTGTGTATGTGTGTGTGCACGGGTACATTTTTATGCCTGCCACTTCATTATTTATCACCATATTAAACTGTGGAGTGTAAATGATATATAGCCACATTTCATTGTGCTTTCATTCAAAGTGAGAGAGGACGAGACACAGAGGCCAGGCGTGGACACAAAATTAAACACATATACACACACACGCACACACACCTACATGCATGATTTGATGGAGATCAAAGGGCAATTCAGGAATGTAAAACGTTGCAATTTTAACAAGCTTATGTATAAAAAAGAAAACTCAATCTAACAAAAACAAAAAAACACCTGAAATGTAAAAGCTTGTTTCGTCAGAAAGTAGCTGTCACTGATATCAGCTGAATTAAACATTGTCAGTTGTTAGTCACGTGACTCGCTAGTCCGTTTGAATGACTTATATGTAACTTTCATGGGAGTCGTTTGTCAGTCAAGTTAACGTCAATCGTGATCTTTTATAAACCTAACTAAGTGCTTTTGTTGCCTAAACCTAAACTTCCTGTAAAGATGGAAGTCATAGACATTAATTACATTTTTTTAATCACTTATTTAATTGTGTTTAAGTTTAGTTGTATGTAAGTAAAAATGTATTATATTTGATCATTAGTTTGTCAATATTTGTATTGTAAAATGTTATTCTACTTTATAAATATTCCATTCACAAATAAATATAGGAGTAAAGCCTTAGTTTTCCCACTATGGTTTAAATTCCACTCAGATAAGATACATTTAAGGATACAGCTGGATCCTTGCATTTTTTAAATGATTTAGCATGAAACTAGAAACCTTTAAAGGATGTAAATCAGCAGCTTTGATCATTAGTCCTGGTATTTGCATCATCTCCACTGCAAGTTATTGTTATATAAATCCAGCCATAGTTGGCAGTTGAATGTGGGCTGTAGACAGTGCTTCTTGTGAGATTAGTGACATGAGGTTTTTCATGATGCTGCTGCACTGGGACATAAACCAGGACTGGGACAAACATGCAGTGGAGCTGCAGATAGCAGACCAACTGGTCTATATGTCTTTGTGTGTAAGTGCAAGTCAATTACACTTGACATAATCAAGTGTAAAATGACTGTTACCACAGTGAGCTTAGCTGAGAGTAGCATGTTGTCAACCATAACTAATCTACTAGTCCGCTCATAATAGCAGCCCTTGAAATGCCCTATTCTACAACCTGCATTTACATTACATTAACACTATTTACACCGGTCCTTTTAAGTGTCTCTAACAATAGGAGCAACACAAGGAGGCTGAGCTTGTGTGTGTTTAAGTGTGACATAAAGTAACAAAAGAGAAAACGCAGACAGGTTACGGATCCTCGGGGAAGAAAATGACTGTAACTAATGTGTGGATAGCAGATGTTGTATATACAGTAGCCTAGCAGGCATGTCTAACACTGTGA